GGGGGGGGGAGGGAGTGACATACTACCTTCTACAGTCACGTGAATGTAAAAAACGAACAAGTGGGCAAACATAAAAAGGGGCCTTGACCTTTTGCGTGTCAAATGTTTCAAAAAGGGATTGAGAGTTTAGCGAAAGAGCTGTAAAGCTGCTCGGGTTTGTTTTTTCATTTGGGTATACGACAGAGTATGTGGTAAGCGAGATCATAGCTCAAACTGGCAAAAAACTTATCCTGTAGGGTTTGGCAGCAGGAACTATGAAAAGGAGAGAATGCATGAAAATGAACGGAGAGGGGATAAAAAGGCAGCGGTTATACCAGACACTTTGACAATGCTACAATTGGGGTAGCATAGACTAAACTATAGGGCTTCGTCATCACGAGGGTAAAGGATACCAACTCTACAAAAGAACACCGCCCAAGTGTCCAAGAGATTTTACCAAGTAAGGCCGTCGGTCAGGAAGAGGGGGCTCCAGTCAAAAATCGCCAGTCATCATTCAACCCACTGAGGCCGACTGTGAAAAGTACGTGAAAGTTCGATCTTTCACCCCTCCCATTCGATTCGTATGGCTTACAATTGTTGCGTTATCATCGGTTAGGATCTATTGTTATAGCCCGATTAGATTTTTCGCAGCACCTTAAAGCTATGGACAGAGCCCAGGCATTGCGATTTTCAAGCCAGGTCCTGAGTAAGATGGGGAGAAGCTTAACACCGAGAGAGTACTGCATTCTGTACAGAAGGAATATATAATAGGTTAGTAGCGACCAGACAGTCAAGAAGTGCGTTATCGGTTGTTCAAATACACTGTCCAAGTGAGTAGAAAAGATTGAGGAGTTAGCGACGAACGCCGTGAATGTACGGTCTGTGGAGGTCGCAAAAGGGAGTCTCCCTCTAGGGTGGGAACGTGTAAGCAGTGGTGCGATGTTTATGCGCTTGTGTTTTTCATGTCAGCATGCGGGAGTGAGTGTTCTGATGTTGGGCGCGTGAATAGTTAGGGCAAAGGGGCCACGAGGGACGACGAGGGCGGCTAGGTTTTTCTACCACCGTAACCGTGACTAACGTGAGGTTGGGGGAGGGGGGAGGAGGAGGGGGCTGCCGTGC